AGTGTAACATTGGATACTGCAGAGGCAGTTAAAAATTCTGCTCCTTTGTGTGCCTCCCTCCCCTTTAAAGGAACTCCAAATAGGAGCATCTATTATGCGTTTGCTGGATGTTGTTGGGGATGTAAGACTTAGCTTCTGCATTTGAAATAGAAACAGAGTGCAGCTTTATGTGTGGCAACCATATTTGAGCAGAAATAGCAATGCAAAATTAAAAGTAATAATTCACACCTATTTACATATAGATACATTTTATATAATGTAATTGTGAACATACAATTTATATATTTTAATATATTTTATATAAATACATAGTGTACATATAAGCTGAACATATAATCATTAGTAATTATCATTAATATATTGTATAATATTAGTAATAAACTACTATATGAAATATGTAATCAACTTAAATATATATTAAAAATATAATGATATATAATATACTCTCAGACACTAAATCTGGTTACTTACATTAATTAAAATAAATCATATGCATTAAAATATAATCACTACATATTATAATATTTATACTATTATATTACAATATGTTTTTCTATACATCTATCAATTCCTTTATGGTTTCTCCACTGAATTGAATTATGCAATATACTTAAGTATTATATACTCAAGGCATTTTTATACATTGATTTTTTTCTTTAAGGAAAAAAATGATGCTTTAGCTAAAATAGGAGGAGGATTATTTGTAGGTTGTATAGAAGATTCCAATGATTTCCAAAGTTGACTTGATCTGTGTAGTATAGTTTCATCCAGTGCTGAAATCATGTCCTGGAGAGCATCCTTAATCCCAGGTGTCCATTCTTACTCATTGTTATTGATTTTTGGAAAGCCTGTGGTCAGCAAAATACCAAGGTCCACGTAGGCCGATGGCCCACTTTCCCAGCCATGACCATTTTAATCTATTAATATTGTATTTAGACTTTTATACTTCCTTTTTACTTCTTCAAAAACTACATATCTTATGTCTTCCAAAATCATGAATTCCAGTTCTCAAGTTAGTCAATCAACACTCTTCCTGGTTAGCCTCCAATTTACTGTTGAATCTAGCATCTATTTATTTGTCTTCAGATTCTCTGCCATAGTAATTCTCACCACACTGTCCTGATGCATGTATTGATAGTATAGCCTATGACTTCCTTGGTGCCAATCAAAATTCAGGGTACCCATACTTCAAGGTAAGCTAAAATCCTACTTCTTTCATTAAGCTTTTGCCAAGTATTTCAGTATACTAAAGGTTTCATCTAAAACTACATAGATTTGTCATCTGTTTGACAAAATGATACCTCCTAATCATCTCTAGTTACTTCAAATATGTAAGCCTTCTCTTATCAGCTACCTCTCTGAGAGCATGAACATAAGCTTTAATTCCCTGGCATCACAGTAGAGTTCTGAGTACACAGAAGTTGCTTAATGAACTTGTTTAATGGTTTAATACTAAACAAAAATTACTGAAGCAAGTAATGATAGTAATATGGCATTGACAACTCCAATTTGAGTGAAACCATATTTTTAAAATGGAGTATTTAGAAGGTAACAAGCAATATGACATAGTGGTTTAGAGTATGAGCCCATACAGCCTGGGTTCAAATCCTTGTCCTATCACCTATTGGTTAGGTGGCCTAGGGAAGGTTAACTAACAACTTTGTGCTTTAATTTCTTGCTCTGAAAATTGGGGAACAAAACAATACTTGCCTTCTGGAGTTATAATGATGATTAATTGAGTTATGTCACATACTTAAAATAATTTGTGATTTGTAGCAACTTCTCCATGAATATCAGTTATTTGTAAATGTTCAATACACATACAGTGATACCCCAGAGCTTAAAGAACCTTTAGTCTATGAGTGAATGAGTTGAGGAACAAAGGTAAAATGATTGGCTGATAGGCATATGGCTAATTAGAGGCAAAGTAAGGAAGCCAGGAGTCCTGACTTCTATTCAGTATTTGTTTCACTCCTCCCTAATGATCTACATCTGATCATGGAACTGAATGATAAAATTTTAGAGTTAAAAGGGACACTCAAAGCTCTCGAGTTCAACCTTTCCATAAGGGACCATATTACATGATCACCTATCATAAATCTTCCATCTTTGCCAATAGTGCCATTTCAGATTCTTAATCAACTAGACAAAAAGATTCCACTAGAACTGGCACCATGACTTCCAAGTTAAGAAACACATGAAGGGCAGGAGTGGATGCCAATGTTAGGTCCCATGAATTCCAATGACTATCACTAGAAGAAGGTATTTTTAATATCTATCTTCTGAAAAATATGATTTCCTTTTCAGGGAAAACATTGTCTGGAGTACTCATTATAAAGCTGTGATTCAGGTCATCCCACACATGCATGAGTGTTTTGCAGCTAGTGTGCTTCCTGGTAGGAATCTGAAATTATGATTTTGATGAATTCTGAACAATACACTTTAGCAGCCAGAAAAAAGCACAGGGACCAACTATCCATACCAGGCATAATTCTTGAAGGTTTCAGATTTCTGTGTAGTTCTCTGGAACAATATTCAGTCAGGTTGTGCAATCAGCTGCACTAGAGCTTCTAAATTCAATCTAGCAAGTGCAGACTCTCAAGAGGAATTGCAGCAATAAACGTGTGTTATTAAACAGGCACAAATAAACCTGTGTGTAAGGATTCTTTCATCAGATGCAATAGCATTCTATTCTCTGTCTCAATTCAATGCAAAGAGAAGAGATTTAATTTCTCTTTAATGCAAATGAAATTATCAGCATGAGGGACAAATGAGAGAGCAGTAATGAGGGAGAAGGCTGGTTTGAGTACTTATATTACATGTCCACAAAGAATGTGCATCCACCCCTTCTCTACCCTACAAACAAGACTCAGGGAATAACCATTCTTTGTATATGACTATTTTAAATTAAATGCCTGATTGTAGTATATTTTTTAGAAGATTCTGGGCTTTATGGTTTGGGATTTTAATGCATGAAACAGGGAGGTTCTATTACTTGAAGCTGAAAATTGAATTACCTTCTTCATATTGAATGCATCATATCGTCTCTGCTTTATGCTTCAATAGTATCTTATTTATATCTATAACTTTACTTGTAATCTGATATTTTAATATCTAGTTGTACATTTCCTTTGTACACTATCCATTTTTGAGGATAGAATTCATATCTTATCTCTGTATGCTTCCAGAGCCATATAATGTCTTGGTCATAGTAGTTGCTCAATAAATGTTTTGATACTTAGTTTTAGTGGTACATGTTAAGCATTTCCCAATTATAAGGTATTATTAATGTATTAGCACCTTTGGCATGCATTTTCTTTCTGATAACTCTTATTTTTGAGATTTTTGAGGTGTTAACAACAGGCTAAAATAGAAGCACTTACGCTAAGCCTCACATGACCAAACTGACAATTTTAACTTCATTACAGCTTTGGCTCCCCCAGAAATAGAATCTTAAATCAGCCCATTAGGAACTGCATGATCACCATTAGTTATGTAATCTGCCTAATAGACTCCTAACATCCCCCCTCCCCAAGGAAAGTAAATTTTCAATAACCAATTCACTTTTTTTTGGCAGGGGGGGGGTTGTATAACCTCCTTGTTTCTTTCTCCTCCTGCCTATAAACGTTTCATTCTGTGCTGCTCTTTAGAGCTCTTTTCTATCTTCTAGATTAGATGCTGCTTTGTTCATGAATTGTTGAATATAACCAGTAAGATGTTTAAAATTGACTCAGTTGAAGACTTTAGTAGACTGGAACTGTAATTTAGATGATTGTGCAAACAGTAAGCTGGACTTCATGATTATTTATTGAATTGTAATTTTATGAAAAATTTCAGGTTTCTTTTGAACTCTCAGTTGTGCAAGGGGACACAACCATCTCAGTGGGTCAGAAAGATGAGAAGAACTCAGATGAATGACCAGGAAAGTATCCCAGAAGGACTATTGTGCCTTAAAACCCAGCACTCAAGTCCTAACTTCAGGACCTGAAGTAAGCAAGTTAGGGTCATGGCATTTCCAAGGCTTATATTTCCTCTTTAATAGTTCTTCTGAGAAACAGTCATTTTTATGTTTAAGAAACATGTAATACATGCCTATGAGGTCCACAGACCAGACTGGCTACAGGATTTTCAGAATCCAGTTGAATTAAAAAAAAAAAAAAAGCAGTCACTTGTTTAAAAAGTAGTAAGAATTTTAAAACAATGACAACAGAACATTAAGGCAAATGTGGGTACGTCTAAGCACAGAGCCCTGTGTGACTACACAGTTGTCACATGCAAAGAGCTGTTTTTCTTTAAAAAGCTTCCAGTACAAGGAAAGGCAAAAAGAATGCACATAGAGTAGAAATTACAATTCAAATATGTACAATGGACTGTAGGAATCCCAAAGTTTCTAACTTTGTAAACTTGTTCCAGGGAAGCTGACGGTTAAGCTTATTTTTAATGAACACTAGTGGGGGAAAAAAGATATTTTAGAGTAAAGGAAGGCAGAATTCATGGACTAATTCCAGAAATAGGGTTTTTTTTTTTTTTTTTAAAGAGGGTGGAACACATGAACATGAGGGTGACATAATTGAGATTGAGAGTAGAAAGTGGCAAAGGCCAAATAAAAGGGGGAAGGGGTCCAACAATTATGTAGTGTCTATGGTATGCTACATTCCTTCCCCTCATGTCACAATTTTAAGCACTCAAAAATTTTGTAAATAAATTGTCATTCCTATTGTACAAATGGACTGGTTGAAGCCCAGGGAAATAATGTTCAAAGAGTTCAGGACACAGTTGGCATCCAATAAATACTTGAGAAATGACTGGCAGGTTTGTCTAACTTAAAGAGTAGAACTCAACCTCCACGCCAAGCTGGTTCTAAGGCAGCTTTTACCCCCTCCACTGGTGCTTTTTCCGCGTCGCTCCAGAGCCCAAAAGTACCCTTCCCTTGTCTCGCCCCGCCCCCTTATTTTCACGTGCCGGAAATTGGGTGGCAAAAGTACTTCCGGGACAGCAAAGGTCAGCTCTGGCAAGATGGCGGCCCCCTTGGAGCTCAGTTGCTGGGGAGGCGGCTGGGGGCTCCCATCGGTGCACAGCGAGTCTCTAGTGGTGATGGTGAGGCCGTCTCGCGGGCCAGGGTGCGGGAGAGAAGGGGCGGGGCCAGAGCGCGAGGTTGTCTGAGCTGGGTTCAGGCGTCTTGCCTTGGTTTCCCCTGGCGTTGCGGGGCCGAGGCTCGCTGGGGCATTGCTAGCTGCAGCATCCTGGACTCACTCCTGGCGACAAGTCACAACTTGGCCTGTGACTCCGCCGACGCCTGGAGGTAGAGTCATGGCTGCCCCGCATGGCTCCGAGTTTCCTCAGTCTTGCAAAGCTGTCTGAGTAGTACAGTGAAAGCCTTAAGTAGGGGGCGCGCGCGCGTCGCCCCGCATCATCCCTCCGACTCTGAGGAACAGTGTCCTCGAAAGCCGGATAGCCGCAGTGTGCACCCTACTGCCTACAAATCGCGGGAGATGCGGCCCCAATTCCAGGCGATTCCGCCTTTAGGGAAGCGGGCTGTGAAATAAAGCTGCTCTGCAGATTTGCATTGCGTACTCTTGTCTAAAATGTTTTATTGCAAACTCTTGTTTCAGGCTTATGCCAAATTTTCTGGTGCACCCTTAAAAGTCAATGTCATTGATAACACCTGGAGAGGTTCAAGAGGTACAATTTAAAGTTTTAAACATCCTTTTCTTTCTTTCCCCTCCCTACTTATAGCCATGGAGTACCTTGGGGCTTTAGTTTCTTCTTACCCTGACCTTGGCTCTGTGTTACTTATGATTTGGCATTCTGAGTAATATTTTAAAGTGCAAGCCAAATTATGAGAATGAAAGTGTTCTCTCTAGAACTGTTTGTAAAACTGCAAAAAACTAAGATGAGCTTACTCATTTTCCCCCTCCAAACATGCATTTGGTATTGTTTTTAGGGTATTGGATTCTCTTCAGAGGAAAGAGAAATGTTTCCTTGTATGTAAACTGTTTTTTGATTATAGGAGATGTACCAATTTTGACAACTGAAGACAACATTGTTTGTCAACCGGCAAAAATACTAAACTTTTTAAGAAAACAGGTGGGTGGTTTCTATTGAAGCAGTAGATGTTAATCTCTGCATGTTATTTAAAAAACACATTGAAAGATTTTGAGAATTTTTTGCTGACTCATTTGATAATTGGAGGTACCTGGAGCTTGATTTTTAAAAAGACTTGAAAAAATTGAATAATAATAATACATGTTGAATATTTGTAACCAGTTGTAATTGTCCTGTATTATGAAAGTTGAGTGGTTTGTCAGCTGTCACTGTTGTTTTCTTGTCACATGATGTGGAATAAAGTACAGCAGATTCTTTAAAAAATAAGAAAAGACTGGAGAATCACTGCTCGAAAGCACCAATTTTACTGTGAATCAAAAGTCATGTGGTGAGGTATAGTCAATTTTTTATTTATGGAAGCTTAGCTATAAGCAGATTCAGTTTAGCCATCTGCACTACTACTATATTGGTATGATTGCCACTTCAGTTACATAGGTGCTACACATTTTGTGCTGAGTATGACATCAGAGTTCCCATCAACTAGCAACTATTTTTTAAAAGTGATGGTTGCAGTTAAATGTTTCATGAGATAATGTATCTAAAATGTTTGAACAGTAAAAATTTATATGGTGTATCCAAAATGTTTAAACATGTGAGATTTATATAAATGGAAAAGTTATAATTGATTTTGCCAATACTTTAAAGAAAATGAATCATGTCCACAAAATTTGGAATTTTTTTTAAGTTGGAAGGTTTTCTTCCTTTGTTCAAGGGGGAAAAATGCAAGCAATTTAACCTTTCCTTTATTAATGAAAATAATAGCTTTTATTTATTAAGTTTGTACTACATGCCATGCATTGAAATAATAACAGTTAAAAAATCGTAACTTACATTTATTGACCTTACTGTATGTATGCATGCTATTTGCTAAGAACTTCATTTGCTTAGGCAGACTTTGTCACTGATTTTGTATTTCTCGCCACCCCCCTTATAATATCATGTTTGCCAATTATGAGGAATTATAGGAATCCTAATTTATTTGGCTTTACTTTTTGGGGATACTCTTGACATTTGAGGGTTTTGTTTTATATTTTTTAACAGAAATATAATGCTGATTATGAACTCTCAGCAAAACAAGGGGCAGATACACTGGCTTACATTGCTCTCCTTGAAGAGAAACTTCTTCCTGCAGTGGTGAGCATTGGTGAATATTACAAAATTTTAATGACATAGTTGAAAATGACTGTTTAGAAGAAAAATAAGAGGGTTTAAGACAGGAAATTTCATTTATATATTAATCTTGAATCGTATTACTGTGAAACTATATTCTATTAAACATTTAAGTAGTATGTGAAACTATAAAGTGTAATATCATGTTGGAAATAAAAATTCTTTGTAGAGGGTGGAGTTTGTTGCTCCATGTATTCAAATTGGGTGAACTATAATTCTGTCATTCATTAAATATTTATTGAGCACCTACTACGTGCCAGGGCTTATTCTGGGTGAATAGGATATAGCATCCAATAATACACATTTAAAATCTTGTTTTATTCTTGAGTGATTCTTACTGGAACATTTGTCTAACATTTAGTGATACCTTTTTTAAATAAAAGAACATCCCTGTTTTTTCCCACCTCTTCAGCTTCACACGTTTTGGGTTGAGAATGACAATTACTTCACTGTGACAAAGCCATGGTTTGCTTCACGAATTCCTTTTCCCTTGAGTTTGATCCTGCCTGGAAGAATGTCTAAGGGAGCACTTAACAGGATTCTCCTGACCAGAGGTGCGCCTCCCCTCTACCAGCTTCGAGAAGTAGAAGCACAGGTATGATGGAATTACTTTCAGACAAGGGTGCACAGGGACAAGAGTGGTAGCAGAGATGAACTAACCTTTAGATACCTGCCTAAAAAGGAGTTGTAGGGCATCTTTTCTACCTTTGAGATATAATTTCATTCTTATTAGATATACAGAGATGCCAAGGAGTGCCTAAATCTTCTGTCAAATAGATTGGGAACATCTCAGTTTTTCTTTGGGGATACGTGAGTACATAAAAATCATTTTTATGTTTTGTGTGCATATAGTCAGCGAGCAGTTATTTAAAGAAAATTTGTTTGCCTCTCTGCCACCCAAAGGAATTTTTCACTAAAAAAAAAGGCTGAATGGGCTTTTACTATAGGAAACTTAGTCAGTGGTAAACAAACATGGACTTAGCATGCTATACGTGTGAATTTAAAACATCTGACTATTCCCACCTTGTCTCCAATCTCTACATAACATGTATGAGTAAAAATGAATCTTTAATTTACAACTTAATTTTCTTCCAAATAAAATAATTGTTACAGTAAACTAGTTGTATCATAATTGCAAATTAATATTTTTCTTAAGTGCTTTAAAAAAATCCTAATTTTTTTTAGGCCTTCTACTTTGGATGCCTATGTTTTTGGTTTTCTTGCACCTCTTTATAAAGTACACTTTCCCAAAGTTCAGTTACAAGAACATTTGAAACAGCTCTCCAACCTGTGTCGCTTTTGTGATGACATCTTAAGCAGTTATTTTAGGCATAGTCTTGGAGGTAAGCCTGTTGTTCTTCAACTAATGTTTGTTTCCATACAGTATTGCATATTCTCCTATGTATAAGTAAAATCATTATGGATTAAAGAAGCATGGATATTGTCTTTAAATGCCAGTTTGTAGCACTCCAAAAAGTTGCATTTTTCCAACTTACTTTTATTCTCAAATGTTCATATTTAAATGGAGAAATAGATATTTGTCTTTTGTTTATTCTTCTGGATTTTATACATTTCCTATTTCTTGTTCTTTAAATATTGCCCCTTTGAAGTGGGTCATTTTCTTCTAAAACAAACCAATGGTATTTATCGAGTCCTTGCTGAAAGATGGTATTTATCCTAATGCAAATGGGCAATTACTTTAAATGTTGCTTCTAGCATTTTCCTGCGTGAACAGAAATCAGCAGCAGATTGATTTTGGTGAGGTACACTCCCATGATTCCACTACTTGAAAACTGATTGCAGCAGACTGAGGTATAGTAAACAGAGGGCACCTGCCCCTTAGGATATGATTCTTTGGGAGCATGGGGCCTTGTGCTTAAGTGATTGGGATGCTAAATTTGGACTAGGAGAATTGGCGGAAACAGAAGTTAAAAAGGAAAGCTAGCTTAGGCACAGTTTATTTCTTAGAGTAGATAATGTGTTTTATATTTAAGGAGGGGTTAGTAAACTTGACCACACAACTAATACAAAATCTTGGGTCCTATTTCACATTTACTGAATAAAAATCTCTTAGGAAAAGCAAATATTGTTTAAAAAATGAACAATGAGGGCCTCCCCTGGTGGCGCAGCGGTTGAGCGCTGGGCTGCTGGGCTGCCCACAGCCTCTGCGGTGCCAGTTTGTTCCCCGGCCGCCGGCGAGGGTCCCCCCAAAAAAAAAAAAGAACAATGATGTAAAAAATAAAAAAAATTATTAAAAAAAGATCTTAGGCATAGACCTCAAAAATATGTATTTTTTAAGTCTTTTCAAATACTTTGGATGCCTGGTGTATAGCTGTTTCAGAGTCACTGCCTTAGAAAGTTATTCAAATAGTTTTAAATAAAGACCTATTTAAAATTGGTGAGAAGTACAACTTCAGTTTGAGAAGAAAATGAGCACTGCTATGCTCTTCTACTAATTATTTTGGCTCATGGCAAGCACTTGGCTAACAGTGTCTGGTGGACAAACTTAGTCCTTTTGTCTTTGCGTTTGACTTTGGAGCATTTCTATCCCTCTTAATTTTGCCTTTGAACCAGAATGGTTTTTCTCTTGAGTGTGGGGCACTTCAGAGGGTGGATAGACTCAAAATACTTTTAATCTAAACAGTTTTAAAAGCTTTCAAATTTTCCTGTCTTTCTGATTTCTGTCCTGGCTTCTTAGGCATCTCTCCTGCTGGACAAGAGACAGTAGATGCAAATCTACAGAAACTCACACAACTCGTAAATAAGGAATCCAACTTGATTGAAAAGGTCAAGGTTACTTCAATCATTTTATAGTAGTTTAGTATTTTTCTTTTTATAACTATTATAACTTGGGTTATGCATTAACTTTACCCTCTTAGTTTTTTCTTTAAGAGTTTATTTTTCAGAAAGCTGTTTAAATACAAATTTACAAAGTTGTATATAATTGAGTGCTTTGAAGCCAACAGTGGCTTGATTGCATTGGGGGAAAGATCTAATTATGGTACTGGATTTACACAATTAGTATTTTTCTAGCTAGGAGAACCAAAAGACAAAGCAAAAATGGTTCTTGCTTGCCTGTCTGCTTCTCCAAAGGTTAACACTATTTCAGATTGTAAGCATGTGTGCTTATCTTTCTTTGTGAACAGTACCATATCTTTTTCTTTCTTCCACGTGAACTGTTTTATTTTTTTCTCCTTCCTGTTTTTCTGTTCTAAATGTCGTCTATAATTTTTCATCACTGGATGATTTTGCCACTTTGGAGTTTTCATTTGGTGAGAGATATATTGAGGAATTGGGTAAAGGCGAGAACCAACAATGGAAATTTCAAGGGTGATTCTAGCTGGAAAAATACACAAGAGTTACACATTTTTTCCCCAAATATCTGGTAACTTTTTTCTCTTATACAGTGAAAAATACTTCATTCTTTTGTAAACAAAGGTAGCTTAATACAATAACACTAAGTAACTGTGTTGCATGGGCTTGATATGAGTTCATTCATTTAATCTTCACAACACCTCTGTATGCAGGTACTCTATCATTTGTATTTTATAGTTGAGGAAATTGAAGCATTGAGAGTAGCTTATATCACCTGCCGAAGGTGATTTAACTGGTAAGAGGTAGAGAGAGAATTTCAATCCTAGAAATTGGTTTCAGCATGTGTTTGGTAGTTAGTAACCATCTCACTTATGAATGATGTTAGAAATAAGGGATGATTGTGTCTGCCTTTTTTTCTTCACAAGTCTGTTGGGAAAGTCAAATGAGGTATTTTGTCCAGAGCAGGTAGACAGGCTTTGTAAACTGTAGCACTTAATGTAACAGAAGTATTGCTTTTACACATACTATTAGAAGTACTCTTAAACCAAGTCATGCTGTGGTTGAGTTCAGCAGACGGTATCAAAGATGAGCCATGTTGCTTTTATACATACACTGAGTCAGCTGGTATTTGAGGTATGACATTTAGAATTCTTGAGAAATTATTTGCAAATAAAAGGTTTCTCTAGCAATCCAGAAACAAATGGTTCTGTACTCTTTTAGGCTAGTTTGGGTGGGCAGTCTCAATCCACAAGTGGTACCATAGCCATTAGTCACAGGTATCTTTTGTGTTTTCTATAGATGGATGATAATCTTCGTCAAAGCCCTCAGCTTCCTCCTCGGAAACTGCCAACACTTAAACTGACTCCAGCAGAAGAAGAAAGTAATTCTTTACAACGATTATCACCCTGACATGCTTTGTGTCCAAAGTCATGTGATTGTTGCAGTAGTCTCTTATACTAAGTGTTGTGGAGGCAAAAAGAAAATGCCATTAAGAGGTATGAAGAAGACTCCTAAAACAAAAGAAACTTTCTACAATCTCTATTTTTTTTAATTAGGAAACTTGTATTTTAGCTTGGCAATGCACTTTAAATAACATCAAATTGAATGCTAAATGAATCTGGGGAAAAAGGAAAACACTGTACTGTATATATAAAAAAAAAAAACCTGCCTTAATTTTGGCAGATTTTTGCCTCTGGTTCACATGTTGCTGACCAAAACTATAATTCTGTTGTGAATGTGTACTCTTAATTTATTCATGTTGATGTATTAATTTCATTTTCTTAGGTCAGTATTAATATCTAATTTTTGGCTCTTTGGCTGAGGCTTCTTTCTTCAGTTTAGAAATATGATGCCTACATTAGAAATTAGAATAATTATAAATTAATAGAAAAGTTGGCATTTAACTTTAAAAAGCAGTGAGGAATGTGCTTTTTTAATTATGCTGTCATAAATCTAATCTTTCAGGGTTTAGTACCATATATAAAGGTGTCATATTAATCTGATTATATGTACTTCAATGTAACACTAATATTTGCTGATGTGTTCAATATAGTTAGCAAGGGCTCTTTTAGTTTATTGGATGACTATGGCAGCTTTAGACCTCTGATGTATAGTACAACTTTAACTTTAGTCATTTTTTTTCCTTGGACTGATTGCAGGAGAAATGAATGTGTTGGTCATCACTATTATACTAGGCTGTAAAGTCTTATTGAACCTTGCCCAATTGTTAGCTAATACTCAGGAGAAGCCCCACTACCAGAGTAACAGAAGTACCCACTGTGTCTGGTCTAGGTCATTATGCTTAGTTCAGACCAGTATTTATTCTTAAAGCGCATATGTAGTCAAAGGTTCTATGACAACTTATAATCTTCCATATAGTTTATAGTTGAAGGGCCCAAAGGAATAATCAGAAATAGCAGATATTAAAGACTAATTTCTAACAGTTGTTAAATGGTTAAAGGATTTTACTTATTGTATAATAGAATCTTGCTTATTTTAGTAGCTGAGGTGCTTCTGTTGTCCTAAAACAGCTTCTGGGGTTTTCAAAATACAGGACCATGTTTTTGATTAGTGTCTTAAAAGATTACTATGGTGCTCAGAAACCCCCATGTTAAGAAAAGAACCTCATCTTATATGAGCCGAGTGGAGCTCAGTTGTGTTTGACTTGCATCTCCCAATATGTCCTGTATTTAGATAGCTATTTAAACAGTGATCTTTAAGTCAATATGAGTATTTTTTCCTTGGAAGTTTTAATTAAATGAGAAAAAAGGTAGTCTTCATAATCATGATGTGTTCATGAGTTGGGATGCATTTAGGGAAAATTCCTAATGAGTTTCACATTACTTCTACAAATGGTGAGGGAAGAGAGAGAGTTAATTTTGCATTAATCTTTAAAAGCAGGTTATTAGTTTCCAGCAATCTGAAATCTGTGAGTATTTTATAGTGAAAATCATGACCATGGGACTTTATTGTTCTCTAGAATTTATGTATATTGCAGAAGGGTGGTTAACCCATTAGTTAGATATGTTTGTCCTAGTCAGCTTAGTCATTTTCAATTATGATTTATTGTAAACCTTCCAAAAAGCAAAGGAATGGCTCACAGTTGTAAAATAGGACAATTACAATTAGTTTTTTTGGAAAACAAAAAAATTGTAGGAGAAAGAGCAATAGCAACCTTATTATGCACAGTGTATAATTGAAGGGCAAATGTAACTCCATGTTTCTTCTTGGGTAAAGTCAAAAGTTAAAAATTACTGTATAAGTTTTCTGCCAGTAAAACTACTAATACCCATGAGTAAGAAAAATCTGGGAAATCACATTCCTAGGACATACAGATATCAGCCAGTAAGTAGAATGTAATGTTTCAGGTGTTGAAAGTTTAATCAGAAGTTATTTTAGAATAACAAGCATTTGTCCTTTTAGTAGAGAGGGCAACTGTAAATATAATTTGCTTTTGATCATTCCTGCTTTGAATTCCCGTTAGTCTTACAGTACATAGGTCATGATATTTTCAGACTACCTTTTCCTAAGATGTAAAATGTGGTTTAGATAAGTGAGAATTTATATGTTGGGGTACTTAGTAGAGCTTTTTTGATATATCCCAATAAGATGCTAGGAAGCAATATCTGAGCACAGACCACGCTAGGGACCAGCGACACAGACAGAAACCCTTGGAAAAGAACAATTTTTCAGATTGGGCAGAGACCTTATAATCAGCTTGTCAGGTAGGTTTTGGATAAAGCTTGAATTTGCCGAGTGAGATAAGTGGTCCATAATCTTAAAGTACTTGGAGGTGATGGCGGAGGATAATGTGATAGAAAGGAATATGTGTTTATATTTGTTGGTAGTATAGGATTAGAAAATTGATCAGATAATCCCCATAAAAGATCCTCATCATCAGTTATTCATAAAAGTAGGCATTCTCATGACATAAAGAAACTAAAGAACAGAGGATAGGCATTGCTTCACAGTGGTTCCCCCCTCCCTCCCCCACTACAAATGTTGGCATTGACAAACAAATCAAATTTCAACTTAAATAAGTCTGTATTAATATTTGACTATTAGAGAGTTTACATTAAGTCCAAAGCATATTGATTTCCATTTGTAATTTCTGTCATTTAAAATATTGCTAGATATATTAACATGAAGAAATGGGAACACTTATTTTAGTCAGCTAAGTTACTTTCAGGAGTCTGCAAAAATGGAAACAATTTAGTCATCAAAAGAGGCAGGAATTGGTAATAATGACATCTTAGAATAGCAATTGTTCAAGGTGGCTTCATGTGATAAAAATGGTATTTGAAGTTGGTAGTATGTTTTCTGAGAGCCTCTTCCAAGGATATATATTTAGATTCTTTTATAGTTTTCATAAACCAAACATTTTAACCCTTTAAAACCAAACTCTGAATGCTTAAAGACAGGAAGCTCACTGATAGTACATAGGATCTCTCCGTACTCTCTTTTGCTACTTCTGTGGGTTTGTAATTATCTTAAAATAAAAAAGATCTTAAAAAGGAAATTTAATAAAGTACATGTATTATTGTGTATTAAATTAGAATTTAAAATATAACACTCCAAAGATAATATTTAGTATTCAGTTCCAGATGAATAAATACATAAGAAAAATATAATTTATTTCATTTTTGAATTTAAAGAAAAAATTAAACTCATGTTTGTAATGAATTATAATGTAAAGACCTTTTGCCTTATCCAAAAAGAAGAACAATTTATCACCAAGAATCCTTTTCCCTAGAATATCAGACAAGATCATAGGCTTCCCTAGGATATCAAAAATTCTGATCATTCAGAAATTTGCTGTTAGATGAACTAAAGGTTGAAAATCCAACTATTCTTAAAGATTTGATTGAGGCTTCATTCGATTTTAGAAATGGTGATTTTCACAGAAATGTAAAGATAAGTTTTGTTAAAGGGTTTGCAAAAAGACAGTGTACCCCAAAACAAACTTGCTAGGATATAGAGTTTGTTAAGAGCCCAGGTTACCTGTCCTAGACTCTCAGAATCAAAGTAGATATTGAAATTATTTGTTCCAGGCCAATGACTACTAGTGAGAATTAATATTACTGAACAATGATATAAGAAGGACGTTTAACTGTATTTTTATAAATAGAGAGGGGGAATGCTATAATGGAAGACTATTCAGAACAAAACAAACTAGTTTCTTTAAAAACATAGGAAGGTGAGTCTTTTTGTAGCTTCATTATTTCTAATTTTTCGTCATTAATACTATAAGCTTTTAAAAACATCTTTTAGCTCCTAAAGGCAGAATGTATTATTAAATGACTAGAAGGTTCTGTGGCCAAATAAATTCTGGAAATGCTGGGTTAGAAACAATTAAGGGTCTGTATTTTATATACCATTTCCCTGGTTTATTTTAATGTGTGTATGTTTTTAAAAGTAGGTGGAAATTGTGTTCTGAGAAATACACATAGGGAAATAACTGCCTTAAGGTGTTTTTACTTGTTTGACTCATTGCAAAGGTTTGTTATTGATGGGTTCCTTTTCAGTGGGCAGTGATAAAATGGAAACACAGGTGAGGACCCCTGGACCATGGAGTTGAGAGAGTAGTGGCTACAAGTTTAGGATACTGGATTCTTAGACACATGTGAGGTTCCTGGTCTGTCTAGCCCCTTTCCCTTAAATAACAGTTGGCCTGAAATAGCTGTATATGGGTATGAGCTAGTGTTTTTAGAAAACTAACCAGTTCCATGAGAAAAAGGGAACCAACTTGTACTCCGGAACAATTTTCTCAACCCTTTATGGCTTTAAAAGTGCCAAAAAGACAATGGGTATTTATAGAATTAAAGTCACATACAAGCTAGTCAATTTGGATGGATGGATGGATGGATGCAGAAGTTTACAGTTGTTGCAGTGACAGCAGAGGAAGTTTAACATTTTTTGTTATATTACTGAAGATGTGGTCTAAACAAGGGTTGTATGTTTCTTTGCATTTTCTAGGATGAAGGTTTAGTTTTCATTAGAAGTCCATATCCTAAATTATTTAAACCTCACTAGACCTCCAAATTTCAGAGGACTAAGTATGTTTGATTTCATTTCAGAGCATAAAATCAGATCACTAATCAGGCATATGGATGCTTTTCATTTGTTTTCCTCAATGTGTACAGTTGCAGATTGGGAACTCCACATTTTATATGTGTATTTGATGGAAAGTTTGCCTTGCAGTTTTGATTTGTGTGTAATGGTGAACATCTAGCCACGTGAGAAGCAGTTGGATCTTTGTTCTGATTCTTTAGTTTTCCTCATGCAAATTTAGAGATACGCCTTTTAATCATTTAGTTTACACCCAGATCACATTGGAAATCAAGAAAAATGACTTGCCAGAGTTTGCATCAGGTCTCAGTGACTCATGCATTATAGAGAAGGTTATACTGACCACTCGTTTTTTGGACCATTGACTAATTTTCCTTGTACTTCTGGTGTCTTTATCTCTTGGAGAGAGTGGGGTGTACTCAAGCTTTTATGTTAAATACATAAGGAAAAGCTTTATTCCTCATCTAACTCAATGTTTTATTTTGTAAACTAGGAAATAATGTTTTTTCCTGTTTTCTGTTCATCTTAAAGTAGCAACTGGAATTGTTTCTAATGTAACTTTAGCTTTCTGGAAAATTGACAGTAAAGAAGATAAATAATATATGTATACATATACTGGTTTTGTCCCAGTGTGCAAATACTAGGTTTTGCTATAAAGTAAACAATCTTCAAAATAAGCAATGTTAGTCTTAATTTCAATATTCTAGCCTTGCCTACTGGGAATATATTTTACTAAGAGACTGTGTATAGATACCCAGAAGTGGTGTTAATGATCACTGTTGTAAAGAATTTATTCTGATAAATGGGAAACTGGATATAAATCAAAATAGCTATTTTCACAATAAAATTTCAAATTGCCTGAATGTTTATTAATCCCTGATTTAATGTTTTTATTCCTTGAGGTAAGTATATTCATTGGGAAGAATTTTTGGGTGATTGAAAATAGTTATTCAGTGCTGGAACTGAGCTGTATAGATAGTGGCTCTTTTTAAAAAGTTCATTATTTCTATGGTGCATTCAGATGACTTATGCTCTTTCCACTCCAATCTAAGAGAGGTTAGAGACCTGCCCTAGGCCACTGGTATGTGTATAACCTTGGCTTACACAACCTTTCAGGGCTACAGTTTACTTATCCTTTTGGAATTTTAAGTTTATTTTAAATTTCCCTTAAGCCCACCTAGACAGTTCAGTGATGTTCCATGTAATTGAATAGAAGACACACACTGAAAAAAACAATGTAATTTTAGTTTGGGGGGTGGGGGCAGGAGAGGGAAGGATATTTATGTATTTTTGCTTCTTTTTTTTTTGTGGGCAGGAGATATATATACATACATACATACATATATATATATATATATATATATATATATATATATATATAGAGAGAGAGAGAGAGAGAGAGAGAGAGAGAGAGAGAGAGAGAGAGAAAGAGAGAGAGAGAACCTTACTGGAGCTGTTAAGACAAGCAAGGGTAGGTTCCCTGAAGGTAAGATGCTCAGGTATATAAGTACTGTTTCTCTCACAAGAAGCCAGATACATCTTTGTTGTTAGTTTTATCCTAAAGAACACAAATGATAATTGCAGGTGAACTTTGGGTTCCAGATGAAAGATCCTTAGGTGGATTGAAATGGTTAATAATGATCACATGCTCTCTGCAAGGGAACAAAGAAAAGAAAAGTTGTGTGGACTAATAGAACTCTTCTGATGAGAGACATTTGTAGTTGCAAAGCTGAGAACCACATAGCAAAGAAATTTTGGTTCTTAGTTGCTCAACTCAAAGTCTTACCTTAAGCTTGGGAAGAAGAGAACTTTTAAATTTTGCCAGATTGTGATCTTGTCCTAAGTGAATCTCCATGGGAGATTCATAGGAGAAAGACTGAGATAAAGGGGAACCAGTAAGATCACTTGTTTGAGACATGTATATCAGAACAAGAAGGAAATGGTGATGAAGAAATGTAAGGATTTGTCTTACTCAAGATCATCTTGTAATTAAATTCCTAGTTTTACAGCAAATGTGTACTTATATCTTCATGATCTAATGGGCAAGATCTTCACGAGAAAGAATGAGAAACTATGGTTCATTTCTCCAGGTGCCTTAGTCAGCCTCTTGGAATGCTTTAGACATCTACGATTAAGAAATGAAGACCACTGAGCATCATCAAAGACATTTCTAATTTCTACTGTAGCCAGCTTGAGGCCCCCGAAATTATATTTTTCCAAGTGGGAGAGAGGTTATTACATTTGTCCTACTTTTTTGACTAAAAGTAAAAATAGAGAAATTTTAACATTTACAAATACAAGTAAGGATTGGTTACTCTGATCCTATTTGGGGGAAGGTGTCCTTTCTAGAACCACATTTTGAAAATTTCAAGAAATCTTTTGGTATAGAAGAGAGCATGGCACTTTCCAAATATCATAGTTAAGACCAAACAGATTTTAGTTTTATTTTAAGAGCAAGAAGCAAATTGACTTATCTGAAGACTGTCAGATTGTGCCTATGCTGATATGTGCTGTCCCAGTTTTCAACATGTAGGGGAAATTGCCTTTTTCATCTAATGAACATGATTTACATTTTGCATTATATACACTATCTGATTCACATACTGATAAAATGGTTTAGAAAAAGGTGGGACGAAATCTAGTAGATGCAGAAATTAAGAGGAAAAGGAACTCTAGATGTATCTGGTGATGAAAGAGAGATAAAGGTATAAAATATAGAAAGACAGTGGATTTTAGAGTTAGAAAGTCAGGCTTAAACACTATACTAAATATTTTGAGTAACTTGTTTGGTTCTTAGTCTGCATTGCTGCAATGCAGAGAAATAACTGGATCTGAATGTATGAACATTTTTATGTGTTTAGCATTAAAAAATTATCAAAATTTAGAAGATCCCAAAAGAGTACCATCCCACCTCTTATGAATAACCGTTTAACATATTGGTAGCTATTCTTTCAGTCTTTATTTTTTACATAACCACACAGCTATACATAATCCTGTATATAGTAATCTCATTGTATATACTGTTTTGTAAAATGTTTTTTCATTATTCAGAAAATTTTCTAAGTTATTATATATTTTACATGATCTTAAATGACTACAGTTTAGTTATATGGGTGTATTATTTATTTCATTTTCTTGTGGTGGAAATTAAGATAAACCCCTCTAGTAATGGTCTTTGTTACATATTATTAAAGTTTCTCAGGGAGATTGTGATTTATAGTCTCTACAGCCCTATGGAGGGCTGTATTGCAAACCTACTGGTTTCAAGTATTATTTCTTGATTTCTTCTTCTGCAACTTGATAGGTAAAAAATAGTATTTTTATTTGATATATATTTATGTGGTAACTATTAAGGTTAAATATTTCCCCAAAATGTCTACAGGATATATATATATATAAATTATAAAAAATATATAATAATAACATAGTATATATAATATAAATATATATATATTTCTTCTAAGTTGTCTACATAGATTCTGCATTAAAGAGAAATCACTTAATTTCTTTGGAACCCTATTTCCCCAGCTATCTGATGGGGTTTCCCTGTGGTCTAAGTGGGATAACACAGGGCAGATCCAGAATATGGCAGATGCTTAATAGTATTATTTCCCTTCATGTTCTTTCCTGGATTAAAAGCCCCTAGAGGGAGGAGACTCTAACTCTACTGTATGTCAGCACCTAGCAAAGTGCTTGGCACATAGAAGGGGCTCAGAAAGTTTATGAGGAAGGAAGAAAAGATAGGTTTGAAAACATTTTGAGGATATCAGGAAAAGGAGTGAGAAAAGTGGAAGCTAAGAGCCAGTGAATCAGCAGTGAGAAAACGGGTGGGTTTCTTAGCAACTTAATATTAAAATGCAAGAATTTAAGTTTTATTCCCATAGTTCTCCTAAGCAACAATTTTTTTTAAGATTTATTTTTATTTATGCATACAAGAACTGGGGTGTAGGCCAGAGGTGCGGGGGGTGAGAGGATTCACCAGAGACAGAGTGGGGAACAGAACAGGCAGCTCTACTGAAATACACTGCTGAGGGGAGCAGCAGGTGAGACAGGAGAGGTCTGCTGAGCCATGTGGATTAGCTCCCTGGCCAGGGGATCGAACTCAGCCTGCAATGGCTGGAAATAGCTAGATGGTGCTGAGACTTTAACCCCTACATCACCAGGGAGGCTGAGCAACAATTTCTTATAGACTGAAGTGGCTAAAGGACATTAAATATCTATATTCAAGAGTTAGCATTGAAAAGTTGAGTGGGGTTTTTTTGTTTTTTGGTTTTTTTTGGTAAAGTAGAAGGTATTTTAAGTATACTAAGAAAGGTGACTAGTTAAAATAATCACATTTTTGCAAAATGAATAGTTTTTAAAAAATGATTATTTCTGATTTTCACATATGAAATTTGCCTAGGAGTAGGAGTAAACAAGTAGTAATAATATAATCATATTAAAAATTGGTAGCAAGTTAAAGTAACCCAGAGTTGTGCTTCAAAAGGAGGGATGAGAACTAGTGTCAGTTTTTGTTTTATTCAACATGTCCTGTGACTGTGGGGGAGAGGGAGTCAGTGGTTTGTTAATGAGATTTGCAGATGGCTTTAAATTGAGAGGTATTGTAAACAGCAGGAATGACTGAGAAATGATACAAGAGGATCTGGAAAGGTTAGGAACATGGACAGGAAATCAAATGATTCAGCCTGGAGTAATGCAAGCCAATCTGACATCTGGGGCCAAGTAAGAAGAAATACAGATACGCCATGCAAGAGACAAACATGGACATAGTCATCTCAAAGGAGGAGGAGTGGATGGTATTAGAGGAAAACATGAGCAAGGTAGGAAGCTGGAACTAAACTGTCAAATCCCTACTATGTGCCCAATACTTTGATTTGGTCCTGTCCATACTGATTTCTTTTTACTGAGGTCAAGCAGTGTACTGCTGTGTAAGAAACAGTTTTTGAGGATTAATTCACAAGAGCTCTGTACTTAATGAAATGAAGTTCAGCCGCCCTCTAGTTGACACTGATGGATGTTAGCAAATATAGAGAGCTTTGTGGAAGTGGCCTGGATTCTTCAGCAAAGCTCTTGTGGGAAAAGATCACTCACCACATTCTTGTAGGGCGTTTTTTTTTACTTGGTGGGTATTTCCAGGAATTCTTGAAACAGCTTCCTCCAGGCTATGCTAGCTGCCAGCAGCACACAGGGGTCCCACAAAACCTTTGGTGAGTTAGCACAGGAATCCAGCTTCAGCATGGCCTGGCCCATGAAGTGGCTTGTTCCTTCCTGTCATGTCCCTCTCCCTCTCTCTACTGGTGCCTCATGTTAACATCTAGTAATGCAGCACTCCTATGGAGGGTCCTTTGTTTGGGTTGTCTATACTCCTTTATTCTTCTCTCGCTATTACTGTCTAGTGATCATTATATTTCCTTTGGAAGTCAAATTTATTGGCCTAATTTAGGAATCCCCCAATATTTTTTTTAAAAAAATTAAGACATTACTTCTCATTTCTTTAGTTACAAGGGCTTGAGGAATTGGTTATAGTTAGGAGATAAGGAAGGAGAGGACTAAATTATTCTATCCAGTCTCCATTTTAAGAACACCAGAACATTGTACAAAGACTATGTTGTGCATATGTCAAAGACATACTGCTTATAGTTCCAGCTCTAACTTGTAAGATACGTTAATGGTTCAGATTAGAAGCCTGAAGCTGAATGTGTCACTTGTCCTCAATAACATTTGCCTTGTAGCAAGAGCCCCTTGTGGCTAAAAAAATTCATTTTTTTCGACAAAATTGACTGAGTACCTCATATGTCCTAGGCACCGTTCTTGGTTCTTAGGATACATCAGCAAACAAAGCAAAGATCTCTAACCTTGTGGTACTTA